GGGCCTTCACCCAAACCAGTGCAATGAGACCCTATAGGCGGACCGCCGACCCCCACCCCCTCACTAGAATGGCCATAACTTCGCCAATTTTGACCCCAGTGGTATAATTTTTGTTGCAAACGGAAGTTTAACATGTCTTCTATCTATTTCAGTCGAAAACAGAAATTCGGATTTTTTGAAATCTTTCGGGAAAATCGACTTAGAAGTTCCACCCGAATTTTCAAGAGGGAAATTTGCTTATATTTTGGTTAGGGAAAAAATCTGAACTTCAAAGTGCTGTAACAGGCAGAGTTTTCACGGTAGAGACTTGAAATTTGCAACATAACAACTTCCAATAGGTGTGTACCTTCAGTGCAAATTTCAACTTTCCAGCTCTGATAGCCTTCGAACGAGAGCCTGTCAAAGTTTTGGTCTTCACCCCATTGAAAATACAGTGCAGAAAATCGCTATAGACAGACCGCCGACACCACCCCTGACCTAAAATGGCCATAACTCGGCCAATTTTGACCAGAGAGGTACAATTTTTGTTTGTACTATAGATAATTTCTGAACAGTTTGTTGGTTCCTTGTTCGCTATTGGTGGCTAGATTCTAATATCCACAGACTAATTTCCAACCCTAGTATCCGAAGACAACTCCGTTCCTCGGTAGTCCGTATCCATCGTATCACTAATACGAGGTGTGACATGGTAGGTAGGTAGATGACAAGTTAACGTTCGCTTCCAGCGGATGCTGATATCGCAAACTAGGTAGTTGTTGGTAGTGGTTTGACATGGTCTTATTAACCCGTATTAAACTTAACCCACTACACTTCGTTTTGGTGCTAGTTAAATTTGACCAATCAGATCGGTAGAATGGAAATAAGGTCATGTAAGTAAAACACAACATCGCTTTGTCGCCGCCCGTTTGAAGAGATAATAACATATTCTTTTCAAGTAAAATATCCTAAAGTAAGGTTTGATTTTCTCTCGGCTTCAATTCTTTACCGAAAATCTTAATCAATTCTGTACTGTACAGAAATGAAAAATCAACGCTTTCGTTTTGTTTACGTCATAACGAGTGATTTGTTTTGATTGGCTGAAATTTTACTACCTAGACAGCAGGGGCCACTTTGATTGGACAATATTTATCTATGAATACATAATTTTTCCCACTCGTATTACCACGGTCTCGAGGAAGTATGACGAATGGGGCTGTGGTTTGGACACGAAGGTCTGTATCATATTAACTTAACATATACTAGTCTAGGGTTATAGAGCCAATCCAGCAGTAATAGACATTACAACAGAAAATAAAGATGCATGTTATTATGTAACGTAATACACAAATTAAAACTACCAATCTTTTGTTTCAATGAATGAGTCATTTATTAGTATACACATAACAAAAGAGCAAAAACCAACACTCTCCTCTGGTAGCTGATAACTCTACTTGTTTACCCCTTAATGTACCGGTATTTTGTTTGCGGACGTAAACAAAACGAAAGCAGCGAATCATTAAATGTTTTGATTTATATGGGAAGTACAGAATTGAGATTTTCGACTTTGGCAAGAATGTGTTCTAATCTTTTCAAACGGATGGCGGCATTTTGTGTTTTGTTTACATGACATTTGTGTTCTACCGATCTTATTTGTCAGATTTAAATAGCACCAATCTCATTTCCACGCCCATAATCCGAAGGGTAGTGGGCGTAATTTAATACGGATTAATAAGACCACGCGTCAAAACCCATATTGTTTATACGATGAGATTGCATTAGATTTTTGACTGATAAAGATACAGGACATGCAGAATAGATCGTGTAAACTAAAAAATATCATAATTTCTTATTCCGGTTATATTAAATTTATATATTGTTAATCATAGCAGTCCACAGCTCACACCCAAACTACACGTCCTCAACAAACATGACTAAGAAAAAGACATTTGTAGTTTCAACACGGACAAATTTATGAGCGAAAATCCTAGTAATGGTATTCGATAGGACTCGTCGTGTCATTATATGTCTATTATGTTTGAACCTATCTGTCAAAACACAAAAAAAAAAACTTTCCAATTCTTGTATTTACAATACATACCAACCAAACCTGTTTTAATCTCATATACTTGAAGTTTGAATAATAGTAGTGTTGAGATTTTTACTAGTGAATATACTATGGAGGCGTTAACGTAATCATAACCTTTGATTTGTAATGCATTATAAACCGATCAGTATTGGAAAGTGATTAATCAAAGATGTTCTCTGAAAAGTTTCGAAGAATTAAAGATGAGGCAACGAGAAGTGGCAGACCATACGAAGATCCGGAGTTCCCTGCAAGCTCGAGCTCTTTGACATTTCAAGGATTATGGGGTCAAGATCTTGAGTGGAGAAGACCTCAGGTAGGACAGAAGGATATTATTATTATTCAAGAGCATTTTTATGGGCGTCAGAGTCGAGTATTATTTAGGGTCGCTCCATCTTATATTTAATGGCTCCCACAAAATACTTTTGCAGCACCAAAAACTTACAAAACACTTCCCGAAAACAGCTTTCGAAACATTTAGACCTTATGAATATTTTAATTACTTCCATTCAATGTTGATAGTTATCTGAGTGTATTAATAGTCGCAAATTCGTAATATAATAATTCCCACCCACCTCGTTTACGGATACCCCTACCCCTGATTGTAGATTATAGTTAGATATAAATCATATCTCTGATTATCATATTGACATTCATCTACATTTTAGAGTCACTTTGACCAAAGCTTTTTAGCTTCCTCAATGAAATGTTATATGTTCAACATTGCCTTTTATACAATACAAAACCGTGGTTAGCGCAGTTGACTATGATATTTGCATAGTGAATATTTAACTCGTTGTTCGTTAAAACTACCTGAATATAGCCTGGGAACACATTATACGACACATATTTTAGATACTTTCTTCAAATAAGTGATAC